TCTCGCCTCCTCTCCCCCCCTCTCCCCTCCTCTCCCTTCCCAGTACTGAGATTTGGGCTGCTTTGGGCTGCTGTGAGCCTTGTTAAATGGACGTCAATGGTCAACAGCCTGGAAGGTCAACAGGCAAGAGTTACCCTCCTAAACTGTTCTGGGAAAACCAAGGAATTACTTTTTTAAAAAATTAGGAAAAGGGAGATTTAAAAAATAATGTTCAGTAATTCAAACTTGATGTTTTCATTTCCATTAGAAAATATAAAATTGGATGTTGCAGAACAAAGCATTTTTGGGAAATTCTGCCTCCCTGCATTATTCTAACCCCCGGATGTGGGGCAGCTCTTTCTCAAAACTGTTTATGAAGCAGCAAGGTGGCCAAAGGTTCTACCTCGATAAGATAATCCTTTGGGTCACAGGTGACAAAAGGCCTCTTAAAGAGGAGGGAGAGACCTCCGGCCGTTCTTCGCGCCCCCAGGAGCTTGTAGTTCTGCTGGGGATCCATGTGCAGCTGTGCGTCTTGATCGCTCCAGGCATCCTGCAGATGAAACAACAACCAACATGTCGCATTTCAGAGGACAGAGACCAAGGGCACACTGCGGTCCAGGTAAGGGGTCCGGTGCCGGACTTAGACTTGGCGAGGCAGCTATATAAAGCTTGCAGACCCCTGAAGGTCTCTCTAAGGTGTGTACCAAAACAGGACCTTGGATTGCCACAAAAAACGGGAAAACATGTGTTTGCCTCAGGGCCAGCCGACTTAACATTTATAGAAGAATCTGAAGAGTGGTGAACTCATCTGCAAAATCAGAAAACTGATGTTCTGAAATTTTGTGAGGCCCTAAGCCGTCACCTGTTTCGCTTGTGCCTAAATCTGGCCCTGGGTGTTGCTTCCAGCAAGCAAGTTCCACCCACTGTACTTAGCTTGGAAGCACCTCATTACCTCTTTGTGGATTTTGTTTCACAATAGGAAACAAAATAAGCGAGAGAAATATGTCTTTGGGGGCGTCTCTGTATGTTGTGCACACATGGAACATATTTCATGCCAGTTCAAGGCAATGCCCAAATGAATAGCTAAGCAGAGCCACTAGCACTGGGGGTGGCCTGGCCTGGTCTTTCTTTGGCTCTGGGGCGGGCCACACCCACACGGACCTTTTCCTTGTCAGCATCGGCCTCCTAAGGGGCTTTCCCCAGGCTTGGGTGGCCTGTGGTGTAGCTCTCCTCAGTGTAACAAAAATGATCTTGATAGAATAAGAGGCAAAGGGACCAATTAGTGCGAGATGACTAAATTCAAAACTGCCAAACTCATGCTAAAAGATAAAACCCAAGAATCTGGTTTCAACTGCAGTTGACATAAGTAACAATGAGTTAAACCAAGAATAAAACCATGATGAATATTAACCTCAAGGCCATTCAGCGTGGTCTTAAGATCATCCCTAACAAACGTGGACTATTCCTTCGCTCACGTCTTAAAACACAGGAGGACTTCCCAGAGTCTGTTTCCGGGTGGCCAGCCTGGTTCCCACCCCAGGTGCTCTCAATGACCAATGAAGGAAGTAACCCTGGAGCAATGCTCCCCACTTCTTTGAAACTCTACGTGGTCCCATAAGGCTATTTCATGTCAGGATAGATGGAGGCCCTAATGCAGGAAGAGGTCCTGGGTTTGCGCTCCGCAGAGGGGCCGGCTCATTTGCTCACATACCGCGAAATAGAACTGGAGCCCGTCACTCCACAGGACAGCTAGATCTGCCTCCTGAAAGCCTCCTCGCTCCGACATGCCAAAGAGAAACCCGTATCTCAGCTCCTTGGCCACGATCTGGAAATGCACCTCTTCCAGACGATAGCTGACGTTCCAGGATAGCTCCAGGAGGCCTTGAGGGTCCAGGGGCACTCGATACGGGAAGTCCTCCCTTGGCTCAGTGCCTTGGAGGGCAACCACCAAGATGACCAGGAAGACGGCGAGCAGGGTGAAATACATTGATGCCGCTTCACGGAGCCTGAGTGCAGGGCAGGCGGCTCCCTTCGGCCTCCTCCCAGAGCCTGGCATTCTTGCAACAGAAAGCAGGGCGGCCCTCGGCTCTTCCCATTTATTGACAGACCCTCCTGGCAACTGGATCGTTCATTGCCCTTAATTGCATTTTGCGGAGGGAAAATTGAATTGGGCCATTGAACAGCCCTTCTCGTGTCCTCCTCCTCCTCCCCCTCCTCCCCCTGGCCCCAACGCTTACCACTTTCTGCTTGTCTCTAATCGCCTTTAATTGTTTGTGGACATCATCAGTGGGAATTTAACTGGACTGGATAGTGTTTTTTTTCTTTTTTAATGTCCTCTTAATGCTTTCTGAAAAGCTGGCCTGGAAGTTGGCTTGTCTGCAAACCCTGCGTGTGCTTCGTCTCCCTGCTGTTCTCTTCCTTCCCACAAAATAGAGCCAGACATGGGACTTTTGGGGAACTGTTGACTGGCCAGAAAGTCTCACTGGGGTGTGCTAATATCAGAGAGACTGGGATCTCTCCCCAGAACCCACCCCATGACTGGAGAGACATGCCCTTAAGCCAAACCCTAAATGCCTCAGAATTTGCAATAGCCTCTCTCCACTATAGGCAGGATGTGAAGGGCAGCAGATGCGAAGTGCGTTACGTGGTCTATGCAGAAGCAAATTTCTCATTGCCTCCAACACTCAATTCCTTCGGCTCTTCTTCTTGTGTGACATGCTTATTGTACATTGAGAATATGTGCGTGCAGGGGGGAAAGCTCACCAAGAGGAAAGGTAAGCACCCAGGCCAGAGTTCCAAGGAGCATTTGGTAGCACCTTGACTTCAACCGAATGAAAAATGTAGGCAGCTGGAAGTGTTCATTTCCAGCTGAGGGAGACCGAAGCTGGATCTCCTTGGGCCTCTCCTGCCCCCATCCCAACAAGACTTAGCCCCCGGTGTGTCTTGGTGCCCACCCAGCTCCGGGCACCTCTCCCTGCTGGCCCTTGGAAGAGGGGGTCAGTGCAGTGCAGAGCAGGTGCTGGAGGCTTTTGCCTGAGGTCCACCCCAGAATGCTGGTCCTGGATGAACCCAAAGAGAGGAAGACTCACCCTCTCCTCTGCTGGCAGGGTGGCTTGTCTGGAAGAGCCAGGCCAGAAGGAGGGGTGGGAAAGGGCCTCCTCATGACTGAGATCCAGATGGGGAGAACATCCACAGGCACGGCGGGCCGACCGGAGGGCTCCCCTTCTGTTCTTCAGTCTGGAGTCTAAGAGAGAAACATCGTGCAGCAGGCTGCCTTCCTGAGGTTTCCTCCTCAGCGTTTCCATTGCTCAGTCTTCTGCCGTCTGAGCAGCTGGGACTCCGCATCAGGCTGTTGCTCTAAGTCCTTTAGCTGGATGGAGGCAGCAGGAGGCTTTGCGCACTCCAACTCCCGGCAACGTGAAACCCACCACATCAGCTGCCAGTTGAGGTGCTGCAGGAAGACTGAAGGACCAGGGAGCCCTGGGAATGCGAGTCTCTCCCGAGACAAGCCTTGGCTGAACCAGAACAGCCCCGGAGAAAGAGGGATGCTGTGCCGGCCACTGGTCCTCCTCTCGCTGCAGTGGCTCCTTCAGGGCAGGGGCCCCCAGTTCCGGCCCAGACTACTGGAGAACTGATGTCCTGTTGGTCTGGTAAACCCCCTGACCCTGCAAGTGCCTGGCCTTGGAAATGGAAGCGTGGTGCTCCTCACCTTGGTGTGAGAAAGAGGACAGGCGGGGGAAGCCTTGGTGGGAGTTTTCCTTCCCTGCCCCCCTGCCAAGCCTTGATGAAACTCCAGTAGCGCTGGGACTTGGCCCGCTGCGGCCTTTCCACCTCCCCCTTGTTTATCTCAAGAAAACCCATTTTGAACAGAATACGCATGCCTAAGTAATTATTACTATTAGTAGTAGTAGTAGTAGTAGTACTACTACTACTACTACTACTACTATAATTATTTAGAGCCCCCCGACTACAGAATGACTCTGGGTGGCTTCCAAAACAGAAAAAGGATCGAGGCAGCCTGAAGCATCCAGACAGCCATGTCCCACTGAGACGGCCCCACCGTGGACTTCCTCTTTTGTGGGCCTCTATATTCACCTCCTGCTTGCCTCCCGCCTTTTGCATTTT